GTTGACCAGATCAGACCTTGAAAAAATATTCCATGCATTCGTTATAACCCGGCTGGACTACTGTAACTCGCTTCATGTTGGGATCAGTCAGGTGTTCTTTCACGTCTCCTGCTGGTCCAAAATGCTGCAGCTCAGATATTAACAGGAACTTGTAGGCTTGAGCACAGTTCACCGGTTTTGGCCTCCCTTCACTGGATCCCTGTATGTGTCAGAATAGATTTTAAAATTCTCCTGTTGACCTTTAAGCGCATTAATGGTCTTGCATCCTCATATCTCCTTGACCTACTTCAACCATATGTTCCTTCTTGGGCGCTGAGATCATCTGTTCAGCTGCAAAAACCAGGTTGAATCTCAGAAGAGATCTGGCCTTTTCAGTGATTGGCTCTAAACTCTGGAACAATCCGCCCCTCAACATTAGACAGGCCGCGTCACTTCCTGTTTTTAAATCTCTCCTATAAACTCACCTGTGTTCAGTGACGTTTAACACAGAGTGGTTTGATTTACTATTCCATTGCTTCTGAGACAGTTCCCACCTGCCTGAAGACTGCCACCATCATCCCAGTCCCAAAAAGCTCTACAGTGACTGGTCTGAATGACTATCGGCCAGTGGCCCTCACCCCGACAGTCGCTAAATGCTTCGAAAAACTGGTCATGACTCACATCAAAACAACCATCAACATCAACGAGGACCCTCATCAGTACGCATACCGTGAGAACAGATCAACAGAGGATGCAATCTCCTCTGTGGTCCACACTGCGCTCAACCACCTGGAGCAGAAAAACTCTTACGTCCGTATGCTCTTTGTGGACTTCACATCCGCCTTCAACACCATGATCCCCCAAACCCTGATGGACAAACTATCCACACTAGGACTAAGCCCCTCCATCTGCAACTGGGTACTAGACTTTTTAACAAACAGACCACAGTTAGTGAGGATCCACAACCTCTCCTCCTCCACCATAACCCTCAGCACTGGCTCTCCTCAGGGATGTGTGTTGAGCCCCCTTCTGTTTACTCTGCTCACATATGATTGTGCAGCTACCCATCCAGGCTGTCACATTGTAAAGTTTGCAGATGATACAGCGGTGGTGGGATGCATCACAAACAATGATGAGTCCAGCTACAGGCAAGAGGTGGAACACCTGGAGAGCTGGTGCAAAGAGAATAACCTTCACATCAATGTGAAGAAGACAAAGGAGATGATTGTGGACTTCAGAAGGAACAAAAACACCTACACCCCCCTGAACATAAGAGGATCTGCGGTGGAAGTGGTCTCCAGCTACAAGTACTTGGGTGTACACATGAATGACAACCTCAGCTGGAGCAACAACACCACCAGCCTGATCAAGAAAGCTCATCAGAGACTCTACTTCCTCAGACGGCTGAGGCGAGCTGGTCTGGGAAGCTCAGTCCTCACCTCCTTCTACAGGTGTGCAGTGGAGAGCATCCTGTGCTCGAGCATCAATGTGTGGCATGGAGGCTGCACAGCTGCAGAAAGGAAAGCTTTGCAGAGAGTGGTGAAGGCTGCACAGAAATCTGTTGGAATCAGTCTCCCCACCATCACAGACATCTACACCTCCAGATGCAGGAAGAGGGCCACCTGCATCATGAAGGACCCCACCCACCCAGCACACACACTTTTTGCCCCACTCCCCTCAGGAAGGAGGTTAAGGAGCATTAAGTGTAGAACCACTAGACTGAGGAACAGCTTCTACCCTGAGGCTGTTAGACTCATGAATCTCTAACTAGAATAATCACTGTGAAAAACCATATCATGTTGCTGCTGATCTGTTTCATGTTGCTGCTGATCTGTTTCAATGTTGATGTGTTCATGCGTGCACATCTGCTCACAGACTCATGTTCATGTTTGTGCTGATGTTCAATGTTTTATGTTATGAGTGCTTAGTGTATATTTAGTTGATGTTTTCCTTTGTTCATATCTTAGATGTTATTACTGTTTTTCTTAGACATTTTATTGTTGGATGTAACTGGGACCCCGTGTACATAATTTCGCTCCACCACATGTACCACATGAGGTGCGAATGACAATAAAGAAACTCTGACTCTGACTCTGACTGACTCATTGTTTTCGTGTTATTATGTTTTTATTTTCAATGGTTTTAATTACATCTTATTTTTTTACTGCCTCGATCTTATTGTTAAGCACTTTAGCTGCTGTTTTAAGTGCGCTTTATAAATAAATTTGACGTGACGACTTGATTTCGTGCTTATCGCGTTTTAATCTAAATATTTTATCGATATCAAAAACTGCCCACCTTAGGAAATTAAAGAGCCATTTGAAAAAGCAAACTGAAAAAAAAAATTGAGCTTTCGAACAGTTTGGCCGTAAAGTGATAAAAAAAAAGAAGCTTATTTTGCAACTGACTTGTGCAAATGATTGAAATAAGTCTTAACATTATATTTGATTTTATCTAGAATTTATACATCTGTCCACATATTGTTTCCCAGTTACAGAGAGACAAGATTCTAGTTTCTGACATCAGGGAAAAATTGCAGAAAAGTCTGTTTTGGGGCAACAAGGTCTCCCTCATTAGAAATCCAGAAATGAGTTTCGCCTGCAGTCAGTGGCCCCATTTATTTTACAAGTTTGCTTTTTTATTGTTTTCAGGCAGTCTATGATACATGAGATAAGAATTGCACATAGGTTTACTTTGGAAAGTGTTTGAATTGGTTGTGAATTATTTTTAAACAAAGAAGTCAGTCATTCTTCTAAGTTATGCAACCGTGATGTCATGGCAGTGCATTTAGGAAAAACTTACTCCTGTTCACACACCAGTCGTGTTTACGGCACCGACATGTTGCTGCAGACACTAAAATCATAAAGCACTCCATGTTTGACGCTTATTTTGGGCCAGAGAAGGGGCGTAGAGACACACCCTGTGTTCCCCCAGTTCACAAAACAAATTACAAACATATTTTCAGCGAGTTGTACATCTGTTCAAGCTATTGTTCAATTTGCATTTGTGTTGCAAATTAGCTAAACTTTTACAGGAAATGAGCTCATTTTCAAGCTGCGCTGGGATTAAAACAAACACTTTCAGGCTCAATAAATTTTATGATGATAGGAAACAGCAGACCAAAGAGGTTCCAAATAACCGTGTCATTTTTTGTTTCGCTGCACGCAAACAAAGTCTTTACTGAGGATGAGCTCTGCTGGTGAATGAGGCTTCTGTTCACGTCAGCAAAGCAGCTGACAGCTTCAGAGCTGCTTCAGAAGAGGCCTGCAACAAATTTGACTTGGTTAAACAAGAACCTGCTGGTGTTTAAAAAAAAACCCTTTTGCTCCAGTTGATTGTTTGAGAGGACATGGTGGTATAAAGCATGATGTCAGCTTCGGCTGACCTCACTGTCTCTGGATGGCAGATGTTCTCTGAGAAGGTGTTTATTCTTTTTCATCAGCGAGTTGAAGCCTATACGAGCCGGTCAGCGTGGGGCCGAAGCTCTTCATTTAGCTGCTTGCCAGGAGACGCTGCAGAGCTGAAAGAATGTGTGAACATTGCCCAGTTTGTGATTTAGAGTTTCGCCCTGACTGACGTTTCACTATTTATACCAGCTGCTGACCGGCCTGGGCTCAGCGACCTGATTCGATTTTAAAATCCCAAGAACAGCATAAGATGCTCAGGGAGCAAAGACCAATAACACAGTTCAAAAAGGTTTTTCAATTTAAAAATATATATTTTTTAAATTGTTTAGTCTTTTTCCGCCCCACCAGGAGTTTTGGAAGGTACAAATGAAAAATGTGTACTTTTAATGTGAAGCGTTCAGATTTTGACCTGTTATACTGTAAAAGAACCAAATGCATCTAAAAATTCTTTATAAACTCAGCTATTGGTCAATAAACAGAAAGTTACATAATGTGCAAAATACGTTCATAGGTTGGTTTGAGACCACACTCCAGGACATTTGACATAATTAATCCCAGTTAACTATTTACTGTGAAAGAGTGTTTTTTTTTTTTTTTTTTGCCTCAAGCTTTGGAAACCTGCATGGTGTTTGACTTACAATCAAATTTCAATTTATTTTTAGCCATAGAAATATGAATTATGTTTATTATCATAGCCAACAATTTAACTACATTCCACACTATAGTTGAACTAGATTCAAACTTTATTGAAACAAATAACAGTTGAGTGGTTTTACAGCCTATATTAAATACGCATTATCACCATAGATATGTATAAAATGTATTTAGGGGTTAATCCATGTATTTTAATTCATGACAATGATTATAACAGTATTTTATTTCCTCATAAGAAGCTACTTGTCCTGTGTTCACCTTAAAATACTGCTGGACTCTAGTCATGATGCTGCATTAAAGTGCTGTCGGATAAATGTGTATTTTCCACAAAATAGGTGTGCAAAGTGAAAATATAGTTTGGAAAATACTAGAAGGGAAATGAAACCAGGTTTGAAGTAATTTACGTATTAAACAAGTTATTAAAATTTTGTATAATTGAACTTAAATAGTGTTTAAATCAATATTTAAATTAGTCTTTGAAGCATATTTATGTGAACAAGCATTATCAGTATGTGTTTTATCATCATGTAAAACATACGAAAGTAATTGTACATTTTACGTGCAGTAACTCATAATTTACACACAAACAACAATTTTGAAAGAACTGACCCATTTTTTCTAATAACAAAATCAGAATTTGTCCTTTAAACCAAAAAGTAAAACCCATACCAAAATATGGTCTGTATTGACAGAATTATGGTATAAGTCTGTTTTTAAACTACATTCTCTGACTTTTCCGTGTGAATATATGATTATGCTGCACTACAGTGTTTGTGTTACGAAGACAACCATGAAATGCTACTTTACGAGGTATCATTGAACGCTGCAACACTTCCTGAATTCTGATTGGCTGAGAGTTTCCGGTTGCTGCGTTCTCATTGGCTGCTGCGGATTCATTCAGCCCCCTCCTCTACCTTTGTCAATTTCTTGCGCTCCTCGTTGAATCGCGCGCTTGTTGTTTCCCGGAGCTGCACGGAGGAAGAAGTTGTCTTGGCCCGGCCTCCGCCTGCAGCACACGAGAGGATATCGGGTTTTACGTGGGAAGCTTCGCCTTCCACTATGCGCTGAGGACGAGTGGTTAAAGCTGCCGGAAAAGGAAGGAGTAGCGGACAAATTTAACATTTTTATCACCTTGTTGCCACGAGACGCTGCAACTCTTTGATCCAGCCGCGCACTGGAGCGAGGGAAGCGACACCAACACCCCCAGAGATGGTTTACCACCCTCTGGGACCTTTAAAAACACTACTGCTTCGAGCTTTTCTCTGCTAAACCCAAATACACGAGAAGGGAGCTCTTTATTTGAATTCTGCTTCACCAGCAAAGGGATTAATTTCACCACCATGCCGGACCTAATCACAGTTTCGGAGTTTGTGGCAGAGACGAATGAAGATTATAAATCACCGACTGCCTCTAATTTCACCACCAGGATGTCCCACTGCAGGAACACAGTGGCAGCTCTGGAGGAGGTCAGTTATTCTGGTGGGACTGCATTTCCATAAAGATGGGCTGCTCATATCAGCTGAGCATAAGTTTTTCCTTACATGACATGTCCCTGATGGGGGGGTTAAATTAGAAGAAAATCACTCAACAATCATTTTCTGCTCTGAATAGTTGGTCATCTTTGTATAATTTGCAAAGAAGCACCTCTCATGCTTCACTCATCAAGGTTTTTTTTTTTGTTTCTGCTTTTCGGCGCATGCATCAAAGGCGTATGAAGGTCTGTTTGCATATACTGTATGTGACATTTATTTTTACCCCTGAGTTTAGGTGAGGACACAAGTCCAGGAGGAGGGATCCCTTCTTCAGGCTGCAGCTGATGGATTCAGAGCAGACAAAACCACGATGCCAAAAGTGATAAGGGAGGAATCAAACGCGCTCGCCCCAGTTTAAAGCAGCTGCACTCCCTGTGCACACAGAGAGCACTTTGTGTTCCTCCTTTGACTCGCAGGTCATCTGGAGGAAGGACACTTCCGCTTTGTTCCCTGATTGCCCTCCACTGCCTGCCTTCTTTCGTTGTTATAGTTTCCCTACTTTGTGTACTGTACTGCAGAGCCTCGCCCTGTCTGCCGGTTAAAATAGGGTTTCCCTCACGAGTAGCTCAGATGTGTTGGTGTGGCCCTGCTTTGTAAAGATGCCCGAGGATGTTGGGTGGGTGGCACGCAGGGAAATGAGAGCGAACTGTGCCGTTTTATTTAAGGCTGAATGTGGATACGTGGTGATTTAAATTAATCCACATCTGGGCTCGGCGTCAGCTCCACCTTAAGCTCCTTGATCCTCCACCTCTTGGGAGGGTTGTGGTTTTATATTTAACCCGTGTTTGTGGAGGATTGAGCCTGGCGGACAGACTTGCACCTGCTACGACAGGTGCTTCACACCTGTATGGATTCCTAGAAACCTTTTTTTTGTTGTTGTTGTTGTTGCTGGAAAGCATCCACAGGAACCAGCATCAGAATGTGTTTTTATGGTTGGACTAAGCAAATGAGAGGTGTGGATTTTATTCTCTTTAAGCCTGCAGTGATTTGTCGGCTTGCGCAGCTGAGACTAATTCAGCAGCTTTTGTTTTAGAGCTGTGTTGTTGTTTCACATTGACCTCCCCACGCTCAGGCTGCTGAGGGAGCACAAGGCCTTATTGTTGGGACAACTAGACTTCGCAAACGTTTGGTCTGCTTGACTAATTAAACACTGCGGTGGACGGAGAACGCTTCCCCTTATTGTCTACAGGCCTGCCTGGAATTTCAAACACGGGCTCGCATGTTAGTTTAGATTTAAATGTATTTGTTTAACGTTGCACAATAATCGAGCACCTCAATGTATCGTGTGAATGTGTCACATTTAGCCATAAAAGCTCATCTGTAATCTCTGGAGTGTCATGGTTTAATGGATAAACTGAATCACGTTCGGTTTAATTGTATTCACAACCCTTTGAATACGTGTTTTATTAAGTTTTGAATCTATGATAACGCATAGGCTTGTCGCAATAAACAATAAATCGATTAATCGCACGATAAATGAAAATTATCAACCTCATTTATCGGCTTTATCGTTTCTTCGTCTCTCTCTTTCTACTGAAGACGCTGGATGACAAAAAGCTCAACTCCGGTGCTCTTCACTGCCCCTTCCCTTCCTCCTTTCTCTTTAAAATTCATTTTAATTAGGGATGTCAAATTTCAAACAATATTATCGTTTATCATTGAGACTATTAATCGCCTAGCAAAATTTGGTATTGTGACAGGCCTAATGACACATATTCATATATTATTAGTATTTTACCTGTTCCAATAAAACATGTGAGCCTGGATAACCAGTCTGAGATACTGAACAGCACTTAAACTTAGTTCTTCTACAGCTTGCTGCTTGTTTTTTCATATAGATATACAACAGTATCGTCAGCATACATGTGACGAGTTATATACTGCTGATCTCATGCTGCTGTATTCATTCATGCCCATCTGCTTACAGACTCATGGTCGGGCTGCTGATTGATATACCGTATTATTTTACATTATTAGTGTTTAGCCTATATCTTAGATATTTTAGTGTATAACATATCTTAGATCCTTGCATTCTGTTTCTTTTTATACTTTATATTTTTGCTATTTTTGGGTGTAACCTTATGTACCACATGCGATACGATTGACAATAAATATACTTGAATTGATATTAGGCTGGCGACCTTGAGGAAAGTCATTAATATACAGTTTGAAAAGCAAGGATGGTCCCTAAAAGCATCATTATCAGAAGTTTTACCATTACCACGCTGTTTTCAAAATTTTAAATGTGGTTTTTATCCATTTTTATAACAAAAGTTGAAACAAAAAGGTCAACAATTTGTGGCTTGCTTTAAATAAAAAAGATGGCCCTTATTCTGTTTTTATTCATTTTAGCCTTGGTTTTCCAGTTGACCGCTGAGGACAGGCAGAGACACTCGGTGTATAATTTCAGAGGACACTTTTCTGTTGCACTCATACAATTGTGGATTGACATTTTATTTCACACAATCTACTTTTAGTATCAACATGCATCATTAGGCTTTAATCAGACATTTAATTGTTGGGCTGTGGATCCATTTGCATGAAAGTGTGCATTTTTAACTTTTTTTCAGTGAGTGTTTTGCTGTAGATTTAGATGCTACTTCCTGTCGCTTATGTCCTCTGTTGAGACATGTCCACTGTTTGTGTGCTGGAACTTGTTGACAAAGGAGGCTTAATCATTAGCGTAGAGGGGTGTGTTTATTGGTGTGGAAATCTGCTGTTCCAGATGGTTTGTTTGGGACAAATCTCCTCTTTAATCCTGTTACCAACAAGAACAGCGCAGGAACCTAATAAGACAAATGTCGTTTGGGTGTTAAACCATTTACACACCAGAGCACCGAATGTCTGCAACTAGGATTTATGTCTCCAAGTTCAGTTGAGATAAATGAGACGCAATTCTGTTAATTTTGTTTAGATATTTGCGCTAAATTAATCACTAAACTCTCATTTGATTAGTTTATGGGAAGCCTTTAAACACATTAAAATAGAGGAAGTGCATCCGTCTGAGTGTTAACGTTAATGGGTCTACAATGTTGTGCTGTTATTTTCCTCTAAACGTAATTGCGTCTGACGTGAGCTTAATTGAACTAGTAGTTTTAAACTGCCTGCTATCAGGAGACCATTCAGGCAATTTGTGAGCATGTGTGTGCCTGTTGGTTTTCACTGGCACAAACCACAGCCATAAAAACCTGTTCATCCACTAAGAGGATATAGAGCTTTGTGTCCCCCCCACACTTCCTTTGTACTCATGTAAAACAACTTCTGCTGACTTTCCTCCATGCACACTTCTCAGAAATAGGAGCATTTATTGGGGAATTAAATCACTTTAACTGCAGCATATGATACACTTGATTATATCCTAGATCTTTTCTTCATATAATGCCTCTTATAATTTGCTAGTGTTTAATTATTATTATTATTATTATTATTATTATTATTATTATTATTATTATTATTACACAATGTAGTTAGCTAGAGTTAGTTTTTGTCAAAAGTCTAAACGCTTAATTCCAGGAGTCATTGTCCCCTGATGATTGAGCCGACCTTTGCTTTAATTACTGGTTTTTGTAAAGATGTATTTTCTACTTATGGCTTGTAAACTCCGTCTAGTCAAAGCTCCAAAAATTCACGGTTGAAACCCGTGCCTTTGTCTAAAAAGTTGTCGTTCTCTGCAAAAAGAAGCTGAGAACTTGTTTACTGTTTTTTTTTAATTAAAATATTTGTGTGACAAATGTTATGCTAAAGAGTTCAAACCATACCGAGCATCCGCCATTTTGAGAACCGAAAAACAGGAACGAGAGACAGCCCATGTCATGTCAAGGGGCCTCCCTCCCATTTTTCTTAAAGAAACACGCGGCTTGCTCTCTCACTATCCATCCTTCTGTTCAGTCTGATACTGCCGTCCAGTGGTCACAAAAAGGCACTACACACAAAATTAACCAACATTTCTTCTTAAATTTGACAATAATTACCAATTGTCCAATTTCAAACAATGTTATCATTTATCGCAATAATTTCTGAGACAACTAATGGCCCAGCAAAATTTGTTATCGTGACAGGCTTGCTATTAATGCACTACTACTTATGCACTTTTCATTTGTTGCTTGAGAGAGAGTAAATGTCATGAATAATTTAGACATTAAACATAATCCAAGTTGAAGTGTTACATCATTTTCAGCCCCTTTTTGGCATCTGGTAGCAGGCCAAATTAGTAAAGACCATGCAGAATAATGTAGTATTTTAATTCCACAGCAGAGAAAGCTGTGTAGTCTCTAAGTACCGGTAGGTCTAGGAAAAAAAAAAAATCTGAATTTTATCGGTTATCGGCCAAATAAGTTTTAACATATTGGCATATTGGATATCAGCCAAAAATCCAATATTGTGCATCTGTAGTTTTAACCCAGTTACTAAAACTTGCAGTCATTCTACTACAATGCTGCAAAGCTGTCTCATTAAACAAACCCCATGTGCATTAATGTTGATCAGTTGATTCAGGCTTGAGCACAAAAACTAATGCAATTAAATATTGAGTACTTTGCATGGCTTGATTAAACCTTCAAAATACAACATTGTAAGTTGGTGAAAGGCACTGCAAAGTGTTCACCCTAAAAAGTAGAACGCTTTACGTCAACCCTCTGCAGGGGTCACATTGAGCGAATTCTCAGGAAAGAGTTGGCAGTTTTATGCCACATGCCCTTTCTGATGCAACCTGGGCTTGAACCTGCAGCCTCGGGATTACGAAACTGCGGCACTGACCACCGAGCTGCAGCCCAATAAGTTGACATTCATGATGATGTGATAATTTGGTCGAGATGAAATCTGTTGCGTGGGTAATGTACTCAACCATCTGTCATTCTCTGCTCGGTTGGCTCATTTTTCCTCCATGAATGAATGTTATTTATAGCCATGTCAGTTTTCTCTACTGTTCTAGATGC